CGCTGCTCTCCTTGCAGAAATAAAACATTCAACCCTTCTAGAGGGCAAAAAGAAACAAATAAAAGAACATCTAAATGAGATTATTTTTTTTACAGTACAGCTCTGGTTGGTTATACATTGACGGTTAAGGCTAAGATTCTTTATTGAGGACGCTGGGAGAGGCGAGAGAATGGAAAACGAGAGAGAAATCCCTGATATCTTGCAAAATGGCTGTGGAAAAGGTTGTGTAGAGAGTGCAAAGCAATGCCGTGTACTGCTGTGTGTGACCTGTTCCAGCACTACTTCTGTTTTTCTCTCCCAGAGCCACTTCCAACCCCACCGAACACCTCGTCAGAGAGGAACGTACAACTGCCACTGACTGCATTCCAGCTTGAATTGGTTGGAAGACGACAAATAAATAGCAAATAAATAAATACATAAAAAAAAATAAAAAAAAAACGCTACAAGGGGCACAACTTAGAAGCTTTAAAGGAATAGTTTGGGGGGCCATTTACACAATTCAACTCTTACCCCAAATGTAGTCAAATCAGTCAAGACAAGTTTGCTTATTAAGTTTTGCACTGGAGCCACAGGCTAATACAGCTAATAAGTAATGAAAGTTCATGGCTGACTTATTAAAGGGGAATTCCACCCATTTTTTACAATTCCTGCATAAATAAAGCATCATAAATGTAAACAGTCATTCAGAGAGGTTTGATCTGAAATGCTCTGTTCTAGAGAAACCTAACTAGGTCAGAATTGCTCACAGTGGTGGTGTCAGGAACCAGACGTCTGAAGAGTTTAATGCCTCTTAAAGCTCCCTTCACAGAAAGTATTACAATGAACGGATATGAAAATGCAGCCTGAGGCCTGAATGACTTTGTTTACATCTTAAGGACCGAATCATACAGAAACTGTGGAAAATCGACTGAATTTTCCTAAATAGTCACACATTTGCCTCAAAGTGCGTCAATTTAAGTCACCTTAACTACATTTATATCTGTGCTTTCTGATATACTTACACTTAAAAAAGATGGCTCTTCAATGGTTCTTTAGCAAAGAAAATGAAACCATGAAAGGGCTCATCACATTAAAAAGGGCTCTATATAGCACCAAAAAGAGATCTTCCATTGTAACAAACTTGACATCATAACAATAAGAACCCTTTTTGGTGCTACATAGAGCCCTTTTCAAGAAGGTTCTATATATAACCATATAAAACACATTTTGCATCACTCTGAAGAACCATTTTGCAATGCAAAGAACCATTTAATCATAAAAAGGGTTCTTGGAGTGTTCAAGGTGACCTAACATCAGACACTGTCATGCAGTGCGTCACTGCTGTGTTTTACTGTTATTAGAATCTAGAATGTTCTAACGGAGCCCTGCTGGTGACATCCTGTATAAATAAAAATAATGCGTGGCCACGACTTAGTAAGGAGTGGGAATGAGATAATTAAGTCGTGGCCACGAGATCCTAATGTGAGGCCAGGACTTAGAAAGGTGTAGAAATTAGGTACTTAAGCCTTAACCACAGCTTAAGAAGGCATGATTTAATTCCCATGCCCTACTAAGTAGTGGCTACCACTTAACTATCTCATTCCCATGCCTTACTAAACTGTGGTCACGCATTAGGATCTCGTTCCCACACCTTACAAAGTCATAGCCACGACTCAATTACCTCATGCCCATGCCTTCCCACACCTTACTAAGTAGTGGCTACCACTTAATTATCTCATTCCCACGCCTTACTAAGCTGTGGCCATGCATTAGGATCTCATTCCTACTCCTTACTAAGTCGTAGCAAGGACTTATTATCTTATTCCCACGCCTTACTAAGCTGTGGCCACGCATTAGAATCTCGTTCCCACGCCTTACAAAGTCATAGCCACGATTTAATTACCTCATGCCCATGCCTTACCAAGCTGTGGCCATGCATTAGGATCCCGTCCCCATGCCTTACTAAGACGTGGCCACGCATTAGGATCTTGTTCCTACTCCTTACTAAGTTGTAGCCATGACTTAATTATCTTGTTTCCATGCCTTACTAAACATGTTATTTTTATTTATTCAGGATGTCACCAGCAGCTCCGTATGTTCTCCTTCCATTCACTCTGGTTCCTTTCTGCTCTTTTTCCGGACATCATAAGGTCAACTGTTGACATTCCGATGTATTCCGGCTTTTAGGACAGCACAAACCAGATGCTAAAACCAGTGCAAAAGCAAAGAAGCAAACTTCAGTCTGCATTTACAGCAACTGCATAAATGTGATTTTTCATGAACTATTCCTTCAATACTGCCACAGTGATGACAAAACGCTTTCGTCAGCGCTGGCAAAATGTCATCGCGAGCAAAGAAAAAGCAGCAAACGTCGGAGTTGCTCCGCCGCTGAGACAGGAGCTTCATTCACATCATACATTCAAAAGCACTCCAGGACACCGTACAGCAAGTGCACTGAACATCCACTAATCAGTTAACAGACACTTCCCCCAGCTGTGATAACTGAAAAGGCCTGTCTAGCGTCGGAAACCGATGACATCTGATGAACTATTCCACATAACGACACTATGTGCTGCTAAACCTTCGAGTATAGTTTGACGAAAATGTAGTCAATCAGCCAAGATGGTCTGGAGTCGCAAGTTTGCTTTAGTCTTGCACTGAAGCTACAAGGCTAATGCAGCTATATAATGGAAGTTTATAGCATCAGTAAGTTCAAACAGATTTGCTTTTTTTGACACTGTATGCCACACATGGCTATGTAATGGTATGACATAATGACATAAGTTATGTCATACAGTGTAAGAAACCACATACGCACGTCTATTTGAGACTATTTAACCCAACCGAAAGAGCAGGCCTTCAAGCATTTCATGGCTGATGGACTAAATCTGGGATACATTTGAGTTCTCGCTAAACTATTCCTTCCATCAGAGGGATGAAAACAATCAGCCTTTCACTGGGAGAATAGAGTTGGGGGGGAAATGTGGCACGAGCAGCACGTGAGGGTAAGAGTGAGGATAACTGCTAAAACAGCCTTTAACCAAATCCCTGGCTTTGTGCAGGTGGATCAGGTTCAGAAACCCAACATTTCTGCAGTTCTATTCATTTTCCCCTTGGCTGTCCAGTCATCCACCATCTGCTTCAGAGATTCTTGTGGGTTTGATGTGTTTCTAGAAACCAATAAAGTAAAATACCTCAGTCCAGAACATGTGTTGGTCATTACATCAAATATACCATCTACGGTCAGTCACAAATCTAGTATATAGTATTAGTGGCTCTAGAAACAAGAGCATCTAAGGGTTACTAAAGATTACACTCTTTCTCACAGATTTAGTAGTAGAAGAAAAGTAAATGTCAAAAGTATACTGCGGCATTCATGCGGCCCAGAGACAGTAACACGTTTTTTTTTTCTCGTTTTGTGGAAATGGTGGAGTTTCCATACAGATTTCGTCCCACTTTTCAATATCTTCAGATACAATATTGCTTTGACAATTTTTCCACAAGCTGAATTAAGAAACACGCATGGAAAATTGGCCTCGATTCCTAAAGCGAAATTACAATACTCACCTAAACGAATACTTATACACGTCTCCGATAAACATGCACATGCAGACGATGTGGTTTTAAGCTTAGAAAATCTGGCATGGAAACTCCAATCCTATCACACATGGGAGGTGAGATTAAAAAATAAAACCTTTTTCTTCCCCTTTGTGGCCAGAAAACGTGAGGTTGAAGACGAATAGACTACTATTTTATGATTTTCCCCTCTGATTAGTAATACGATAGGGGGGGGGTTCTTGGTTAAGGGTGCTACCTACGGTCACCTGTGAACATTCAAAGCATGAGAAAACATGGTGCTAGAGAGAGGAACAAAAGTAAGGCCTTGCCTCATATGAACCGATATTTGAAAACAAAATAATCATAAACTGTCCATATAAGCTCATGAAAAGGGCAACCAGGCAGTGCCACCTGAATGACTGAAGTATTTTTACTCCTGGGACTGCAGTCATCTTGAGTCAAAGGGAAGGGCCATCAAACACACAAACACCCACTCAAGACATGTAACAAAATATGCTCGTGTTGTGCGAATGTAAATAGGGCTGCGCAATATATTGTTTCTTAATCGTAGTGACATCGTCAAGCCTTGCAATGTAAATAAGCCCTTAAAGAGGCACTCAGGCAAGACTAGGGGGAAAAACTCCCTTCTGATGATGCATCTTGAAGGAGGGAACTATAACTGTCCCTTTAAACGAATCACTAAATATTTTGCTGTGAGTGTCGTGACCAAAGTTCCAGATGTTTCTAGGGTTTTCTGGTGGATATTTTGATGAATTAACCTGTATGTGTAATTCAAGTAAGATCGTTTCTGCAGGCCAGTCTTTAACTGTGCAAAAGTGAGAGACCACCCTTCATTTATTAGTCCGCGTTATTCACTTTTCAGGAGATATTTCTGATAGACAGAAGATAATCCACATGCATAAAGAAGAGGAAAGTAAGGGTAACAAGCAAAAAACTGTTTTTCCAAACTGGATATAAAAAATGATTAAAACTCCAGAGAAAATTGGGGCCCCTAACAACTGTGCACAACCTGGAAGACCACCAAAACTGAGCCCATCAGATAAACAGCGCTTAAGGCTTTCATCTTTGAGAGAGAGGAGAAAATCAAGCTGCTTCAGATCTGAAAACATCCACAGGTGTTTCTGTCCATCCTTCCACTGTGAGAAGACGACGCAGCGCTATGGGTCTGAAAGGATGTGTAGCTGACAAGAAGCTCTTACTGAAAGAAGGAAGTAGACAAAACAAAACAAAGAAGCTGCTGGTGTTCTTTGGGTATTCTGAATGGGAGATTGCTCGAATCGTGAGAAGCAGAAAGTGCAACCAACTTCTAAGACTGAACATTGGAGGTGTGGAAAAATATCCCCGCAGATTTCTCTGAAAAACTGAAAGCGAGTCTCCTGAAAAGAACGGAAGTAGTAGTCGTTGAGGCTACTGTGTATTTTTCTGTTAATAAATGTGAGGGGTGGACTTTTGCACAGTGCTGTATATCACATTAAAGGTTCACTAATATATATCACATATATTGTGCAGCCCTAGTAACAGATTGTTACATATATATTATGTGTTGTATAATTATATAATTATATGACTGTGATTTCACATGTTTGACAAAGTGTTTTTGTGTATAGATATATTTTAACATAATAAACGAGAGAGAAATTTAACTTAAAAATGATGAAAAGTGGAGTTTAACTGTTTCGTGCCCTGAGTGTATAGCGTTACATGTCCAACACACGCACACATACACAAAACCAAAGGGTATCCACAGAAACTCAAAGGAGATGATGTATCTATCAGAGAGGCCAAGCCCTTCACCTTCATCCAGGAAGTGGTGGCATGGGCGCATCAACGAATCCGAATGAGAAAAACAGTGGCAACAGGAACACTGAGAAAGAGTCAATCACAATAACAGCAGTAGTAGTAGTACTAATAGTCAAAGAAGTCTAATTTCCTGGGTTTGTGGTAGCCTGGTGTCCCGTTTTCCAGAGAAGTTTCCTGTTTTTTTTCCAGGCTCTTTTCAGGCTTATGTTATCCAGGCACCGGTCCGGCAGCGGCTCGCGGCACGCGGCGGCCGACGTCCAAGGGTGGTCTCCGGTCTCTTCCCCTCCGCTCTCTGCTTCCTCCCAGCCAAAGGTTTGGTGTTGATCTGTCCTCCACCTTGTTCTTTCTCCCCGTGTTAAAAACGTTAAAACAGGTTCCTCTGTCCGTTTTGCTCGCTGCGGGTGTTCCAGCAGATGTAGGCACTCTCACATGGCGTACTTTTGCGTCCATTCTCTCGCTAGTCTGTTGTACCTGGAAAAAAAAAGAGGAGAAACAGATGCCATCACATACACAGCTCAGTCTGTATGATGCAAAACAACTGTAAAGACTAGTGGTGAAATAATCAATACCACTTTCAAAATTTCATGAAATAATCAATAATACTTTTTCGAGCATTTTTCTAGTTTGACCTTTCAAATCATTCATAGCCCAGCTGCTCACGTGCTGTATGTCGCTATAATAGAATCCATGACTGTGGTCCTGTTGTGCAAATACAGATTTTAAAGCAAATAATATCTTCAGTATAGGTGTGACGTGCGCATCTATATGGCTGTCGACACAAAACCTTGTATCTCCAAATGGGTAACTTTACAGGAGAAGGAAAAAACCAACCTCATTTTCAATGTAAGTCAATGGAACCAGACTTTTTGTCCAAGTAACTCTGGGCCACTTTCTTGATCCATTCATCATGAAATTGACACACAATATAAAGGGCAACAGGCATTTTTAAATAATGTCAAAAACTGAAAAACGACAAAAATAGACATTCAAGGTTTTTTTTCTGACAGTAGCAATAAACAATGTGTATATATGCCTTAACTGATTCCATAACACATTTAAATCATTTTATATTAGTTTATAGTAACGCTGTCAAACAATTCATCACATTTATCTAACTACCACAAATTTGACTCTAAGCAGAAAGATTATTTCTATTATGTAATAACCGCAATCATAACGTATTCATTACTTTTAGTAATTTAATAACATCATTTTTATTCACATTAACCTGAAAAAAGTTTCCAATTTCTAGCACCACGTCCAGTGAGAGCAGCAGTGGCTGCATGTTCCAACCAATGAGTGTATATATCATATAAATCACATATACAGAGAAGGCTCTTGAGGGGAAGTGCGCTTCAGCTGGGATTAGGGTAACTGGGCTGCAACTGGGTTTCAGTCTGCACTACTACAGTTTGAATGGTCAAATGAGGAAAATGTGCTGAAAGTTTTTAGCGTAAATAATTTATTGTGTTATTAAGATGTTAACTTTGACATCCCTACTTTACATCATGGTACTGAAATCTGATTGGTCTAATGTGTAGATATTTTACAAATTCTTGATTCTGACTGGTCAAAAAGTGTGCTTTAAATCTATAGTGCCACGGCGTTGAGTAGCAGTGTGGACTGCAGGGCATCACAGGTTTGTATTAAAGTGCTTGTTCTCATCTACAGTTGTAATATATTATTTATTAAAATGAAAACATTCAACAACATTTAAACATAACAGCAACTATATACAGAGTGCCACTTAATATCAACAAACAGCTGATAAACTTGGCATATTAAGCCACCTACATGGGTTATTCCGTGTGTTGCTATGACTGTTTACAGTTGCTCTGTAAACAAAATCATTCAAATGGACTAAATTAACTGCTCCACAATATTAAACATACATTGTATGTCCAAAAGTTTGTGGACACCCCTTCTTATTAGTGAATTCAGCTGAATTATGGTGTACTTGCTGCTGACACAGGAGTTCAAATGCACACACAGCTCGTATAGTATCCATAAAAGAGCACTGACAATAGAAAAGGATGCTCTGGAGCTGCCGCACATGAGCCTAAAGTCACCTTGTCCCATGCCAAGCGTAGGCAAGAGGGGTATTAAGCCCCCCAGCACTGGGCTGTGGAGTATTGGAACTGCATTCTCTAGAGTGATGGAGCACCAACCAATACCTTGACGATGAGTTGGAGTGGCGTTTGTGATCCAGAGCGAATCATCCAACATAAATACCTGATCTCACTAGTGCTCCCGGTGCCGAGTGCAATCAAATCCTCACAGCAATGTTCCAACATTTATTGTAAAGCCTTCTCCTAAGAGCAGAGACAGTTACTGTAGCAGTGGGGGACAAAGTCCTTTTTAATACTCTTGATTTTGGGATGAACATTGGCTGAGCAGGTGTCCACAAACTTTTGGCCATATAGTGTAACAAAGAACAGATTACAGTGTGTTGTCCTTGCATAATCGTTGGCAAGATGGTATAAGCAGGGTAAACTGATTCAGGATGTGCGGTTATACAAAATGAATCCACTCCAGGGAGGTTACCCATCACACAAGCCTGTTGCGGATTATTTTCATTTAACCGTGCACTCCATCACAGCTTATCCCTTACTTAAGTGTTCTCATAAACAGCTTAAGATTTACTGGTCCTACATCCATTGTAACAGGTAATCTGAGAAGCCCTCCGCTATTATGTTGGATGTATTACTGGCGTCTCACTCACTTTTCTCTGTCAGCTTTGTACGTGTGTGCGATCTCAGGCACTAGTGGGTCATCTGGGTTCGGATCACATAACAGCGAACAGATTGAGAGGAGAACTGCAAGACAAGAACAGCATTACCTCAATACACGTTTACACTGTCACACTTATTTACTTCACTGCCAAAGGTGTTACAGCAACAGTTTGGCATCACATTCACAACATTTTCTTCCTACCCTAAAGTTACAGTCATGTGAAGAAGTAGGTACATGTCATGAAACGTTTTTGATCTTCAGTTACATAGTATGTAAAGATAAACATTATGTAATAGAACAAAAATATATAGAGAGAAATTTAACTCTTGATTTAAAACAAATAACTGTCATTTTGTTTTTGTTAAAAGCACCCCTGGCTTCAGTATCTAGTATTGCCCCCTTTGATAACTCTTCCATACAGAATTCTTTCAGCTGTGTTTGAGGGGTTTTCAGTGGTATTCAGATCTGGACTTTGACTGGGACACTCCATAACCCTCCATTTCTTCCCTTTAAGCCGTTGCTTGGTGGATTTGAGATCGTTAATCTGTTTGACAGAAGGCCCCATATTCTCCTCAAGCAATTCCTGGTATGAAAGAGAATTCATAGTCGATTCTATGACTCCAAGTTGGCCAGGCTCTGAGGCAGCCCCAAACCATAACATTTCCGCCACCATGCTTCACACTGTGAGAAATAAAGGTACTGTGTACATTTTTTGTTCATCAAGGTACAAACACTGTAAATGTTCCCTCAAAGGTACAACAGTGGATTTGAGGTCCAACTGTGTGCCTTAAATAAGTTTGTCCAGGTGAAAAGTACATTTTTGTACCTTTTCATAACCTAATGATTTAAAACAGAACAGTAAAATAAAAAGCCTGTAGACGAGACGGGGTGTGTGCAGTCAGTACAACTTAGAAAATATCATTTCAATGGATTATGGTACAGTTATGTTCCCTGACTAAAGGTACTGAGATGTACACTTGAGGGAACCACCCCAGTGACAAGTTGTGTATCTTTTTCTGAGAGTGTATGGGGTTCTTCTGAGGAAATGCTGTCTTTGGTTTAGGGTACAGGGTTACAGGGTTACAGGGGCTCCTGGGCGGGAAGATGGGATCCCTTAATTATTGTACTTTATCTTCAAGTTACAGGATTTGAAGGTACAGTCTTATGAAATTGGGCATCATAAAGAGTTTCTAAAGTCTCACTTTAACATTCTTTATATTGAAAGGCCAATGTTGATAACCATAATCATTCACTGTAAAACTAGTTTCAGACTCTGTGCTCATCACTCAAACAACAAACTCAATCAACAGACAGGTCATCCTGCCTAGTTCTTTATCCACAGACGACGAAGATCCATCAACACTGGCAAAATCTTCACCCGCTGAAAGATCTCATCTGGACATGAGAGCTCTTAAGACCTCTTCATTGCATACAAATCACAAGCAGGCTCTAAGAAAGTGCACAAACCACACTGCGATTGTGTGCTAACCTAGTAAACATGCTTTTCATGTACGTACAGCACTTCAATTTCATTGTTCAGTCTGCTGTCCAAAGAACTAAACTACAGTTATTTGTCTCATTTCTTTTGCTTTTGTTGTTTTGGCGTGAAAAAGCTTTTGAGGCACAAATATTTCCTTCCAACTCCATTGCTAAGACAACAACTCCTTCTGACCACCTCAGTCAGCAGACTGGTGGTCAGTTCAACGTTGATGCATGTTCGAAAAGGGTTATGGTGATAACCACTAGGTTTGGGTTTATGAAATTTCAGATTCTAGTTTCACTGACTGAAGGTTCCTTGAAATGTTATTCATAAACAAAACCAAATTCAATTTGAACAATTCTTATTCAAAACACATCAAATACAGAGTGAAATAGTATGATATATATATATATATATATATACATAGCTATCAAGTTTTCACCTTATTGTTACCTGCCTGGTTAGCAAGTTAACCTTAAATTTAAAGGGGTAAAGAAAAGGAGATCTTTAGAAATTTTAATGTGGTACTAAAAATGAGAAATAGTGATTAAAGATGCTGTTGGTTCCCCTCACTCTCCTGTGCCATTCAGCGCAGACGCCTTCACTTTGGGCAACAGCTGGATAAGGTCAGCCGCGTGGAGCTATTTCACGGTTTCTATGTGGGACGTCAGACAAGCGATTTACAATCTCTGTTCGTGTGAAATATCAAGGAGGTCATGGCGCTTAAGAACGACTCCACTACAGGTCTGACAGCACTTGAAAACAAGACACCCAACTCAATAAGCAGAATACGGCAAAACAACTAAAGCAAAAATGAAAGTATCTTCAAGCATGCTAGCCTGAGTTTTTGAAATGCTGAAAAATTCACAACCGACTAAGCAAAAGTGCATCCCGAAATTCAGTTTTGTTAAAGCCAGGAAATCTCATTTTGGTGCACAACTAATGAAAATACATAACCTTGAATGTTTGTTATCACAAATAACACCATGCCTGTGATGAACTCCGACCAGCTGTGATGTTATTTGTGATGTTACACGCTTTCTTTTGTGCTATTGCAGGGGTCGGCAACATGCGGCTCTTTTACTGCCCTGTTGCGGCTCCACAGCAGAATTAGATTTTTAGGTAAAAATAAAATAATCCTCCTTTGCAGAAAAATAAAGTTCTGATCATTCAAACACAGTTTTAACAATAAATGGTCTTAAATGCTGGAGTTAATGTAGAACTGCTAATTCATCCTTTAACCCTGAAGGTTGGCATGCAGACACCATAGAATCTGGCCTAGCTAGTAGCTAACGGAAAAAATGTAGAGACTTTTAGAGAGATTTAGAGACGAATGGACCTTTTTTGCATTTATAAGCACTCCAGCTGGTTTCCTGATACGTTTAATCTGCACTGAGAAACTGTCCAACACTAAAAAGTCACAAAGCTTATGTCTCCTTCGCCAACTTCTCAGCAGGCATCATTTAAGGTGGAACGGGAAAATTAGAACGAGAAGCTGGAGAATGAGAAGCTTTATCTTCAGCCACGTACAAAATCAAACGTTGAGAGACATTTTACAAGAAATTATTACACTTTTAGAAAAGTTTCCTGCCGGAGATGCGAGAAAACCGGCTGAGCTAAAGCTTAAAGCAGAGCAAAGTAAATCTGCGTTTTTATTTATGATATATTTTTTAGTCTATACTAACACTTTAACACACACTGAGACATGATTTTTGCTGAAAGGATAAAATGACTCTTCTTAATATTTGGGTTGCCAACCCCTGTGTTACTGTTTAAGTGTCAAACGTTTATATACATCACGATTCGAAACTTAATGCGGCAAATGAAATTTCAACTCTTTCTCCTTGTTTTCCTTCATTTGTTAGCTGTGCATCCTCAACTGAAGCCTTACCTTTCGATACAGTGAGGGCAGGAGACCACTGGGACCGCAGGATGTCGAGACAGATGCTTCCGTTACTGTTGATGTTGGGGTGGTAGATCTTTGTTGTGAATGCAACCTGTAAACAACACACACAGATTAAAAATCTTAAAAATGCCAGCTGTGCTGGAGATTCAGAACACTTGGCTGAGCTTTGTGATTTACCTTAGGAGGTTTGAAGGGGTAATCTGTAGGGAAGTGGATTGTGAGGAAGAAGACGCCGCCTTGATACGGACTGTCGTTCTAAAAACATTCCAAAGAAGCAACCATCAGTTTACCCTTAGATGTCGGTTCTTGCCAGAGGCAACAAAAGCATGTTGTAATTTTATGTAAATTATAAATTGACAAAGTCACGACTGTTGCAGCCAGATTATCTTGTTGAGAATACATGACATGTTACAGTATCTTTACAGCTGTATGCAACAGTTTTGGCTCCCCTGGTTAAATGACATGTTTTGTCATTCTATTTGAAAATAACACAATCTCAGAATGGAACAAACTTAAATAATACATGTTACTTATCTATTTATGTACATTTTAGTGCACAATTAATATTTTTTGCTGAATTTAACACTTTGAATAGACTTTCTAAGCACCTAGTAAGACCCCTGTGGCTGAAATCACAGCCTCCACATGATTTTTGTGGTCTTTTTATTCATGATGTAAGATTTTTTTCCAACTTTTCCTACTTCTAATTCTGAAATACTCATAGGTCTTGCACGTACATCATGTCTGAGATCTAACCACAGATTTTCAATAATCAAGTCAGGGCAGTGAGGACAATTTCAAAACCTTAATCTTTCGTTTCTTGGTATATTTCAAGATGGTTAATTTTGAGGTATGTTTTGAATATTTTTTTTTGTAATATCCAACGGCATTTCTCCTTCAGTTTCTTCACTGGCTGTGGGACATTAGCTTCCAGGATTTGTTGATATTTAGTAGAAATGTTTGCTTCTTTCTTTCCCTACAACATTTTCTATGCCACTGGCTGCCTTCCAACCCCATAGTATTATAGATCCACCCCCACGCTTTACAGTTGGCAAGGTGTTCTTTTCATCAAATGCTTATCCTTTTTTCTCCAAACATACCTTTGGTGACAGCAGCCAAAGAGTTCGGTTTTTGTTTCAACAAAACATGTAATTTGATGAAGGGTGCCTAAACCTTTGCATACAACATTTATGAGCCACAGCAGTAAAAATAATGCAGCATGTCTACAATAAACCTCAAGTGTGCAAACAGTATGAGACGGGGAAAGAAAGAAAAAAGAAAACTGAGCAAAGAAAATTGAGGAAAGAAAAAGCAAAACATCTGCAAGGAAAAAAAAAATTGTACTTACCGGCCCCATTATTGTTGCCTGCCAGTGAAACACTGAAAAACATAACAGTATCATTATACTTCATGAAATAACAGAGTTACTACATTACAGTATCTCAGTGATGTCAGTGGTGGTGGTATTGGCTGCTGTTGCATCATCTGAGTACAAAATAAAGGGTAATGGCTGGAAAGACTGGATGCTAAGTTGCATTTTCATGCAATAATTAGTACAAACATTAATTTAGTCACTGATCTGTTCATTTTTGCAGTTCTTACAGTCTTCTCCCACTGGTCCTGCTGAACACTGGGCAGGTGGGTCCCTCTGTAGGTCTGTCAACTCCTAAAGAGGAACAAAAAAGCCAATTTCAGTAAGGAAGCAAACATCTCAGTGTCTTGTGCCTTCAGCAACTTCACATCTTATTTTCTATACAGCTTTTAACCAACAGATTTCTATGTGAAACAAAAAAAGAAGAATCTGTCTCAAAGAAATCATTACAAAAACTCGAAACTGCAGAAGAATCCACCAAGGCCCGACTGATATTTTAGTTGACCGATAATATTGCTTGATACTGACAACCTGAATTTTTATTAATATTGCTGAGAATGCGCGATTATTTATTCAACTTCTTTCCAATCAGGAAGACTGCTTAAAAGATTAGACAAAGATTAAACCGGCCGACAACGACATGTCAAAATCTAAAACTTTACAAATCATTTAAATGGTAATGAAAATAAGAAATAGTGATTTAAAACACAGTTTCCTTCACTCTCCATTGAGCTGATAACTTCTGGCTCGTCAGCTTTCTATTCAAATTTTAAGTTCCACCTTAAATGGCATGGCAGCTAAATTCTGGCACCTGTATGTAGGTGGAACATTTAAATGAAAGCTGGCGAATACAAAGCTTGGATCACTTCCTTGCGCCGTTCTTGACAGACGTGTTCAAACAGTTTGAGCAGCAGCGGATCAACACTGAAAATGACGGCTATGTTGAAATATTTTACAGTTTCTATGAGGAACATTAGACAAGTGATTCATAATCAATGTTGATACTGAGTATCAAGAGGAAACACAATACCCAGTAATTTCTCCATTACAAGTTTGAGACCACTTGCTCGATATGCAGACTACAACAGCCAGTGTAAATAAAAACCTAAGAAACAGTGGAACTGCCGTGAACGACCAACAGTTCTCCATTGTCAGTTTCTTCGCTGACCGTGGAACATTAGCTTCCAGGAACTGATATTTATTGGAAACTTTTGCTTCTTTCTTTCCCTACAACATTTTCTATGCCACTGTCTGCCACCCATCCCCATGGCATTATAGATTCACCCCCATGCTTAACAGTTGGCAAGGTGTTCTTTTCATCAAATGCTGAACATTTTTGTCCAAACATTCCTTTGGTGACAGCAGCCAAAGAGTTCGATTTTTGTTTTAACAACACATGTAATTTGCCCGAGGGTGCCTAAACATTTGCATACAACTGTATTTGAGCCACAGCAGTAAAAATAATATAGCATGTCTATAGTAAACCTCAAATATGATAGAGTAAAAAAAAAAAAAAGAAAACTGAGCAAAGAAAACTGAGGAAAGAAGAAGAGGATGTAGGACTTCATGGCACATACTGCACCCTAACTACTGTAATAATTTTAGTTGGTTTATTTTATGCAAACTGTTTTTATTTACTTTTATTTATTTATTTTTTTTCAGTTTTCAGCCCAGCATGTCCTGAATTTCAGTTTCGGCCAAGAATTTTCATTTCAGTGCATCACTAGTGAAAATACAACTGTGAGACTGGACTGGGTATCAGCTGATGCTAAATATTAGAGGACGTATCTCAGGACTGGGGTGAAAACACTTGATTAGGACTTCAGTCCAAACAAAAGTGTAGAAAAATATGATGTATGAACATGTAACAGGATGCTTTTGGCAGAACTGTACCAAACTGACATTCTGGTCAATATGTAAACTGGTCATTTGCACACAAAATACCATCTAAAGAATACCAGGCCTACACTGGGTGGGGCTTCGCTGGCCTCCTTTTGACGACAGGAGACGCAGCACAGAAAACTCAAGAAGCAGAGAATCCCATTTCAAAAAGAATTTTCTAAAGAGATTGTCTCTGGACCTTTCAGAGGATTAAAACAACCCCAGATACATAACACAAACAATACCACAGTGGCCAGAGAGCACAACAGTAAATACTTCGGAGTGGCCTACTTAGAGTCTGACCTAATTCCTAATAAAAACATGATGCATGATGTTAAAGGCAAACAGTAGGAGATCATCAACAGGACTGGTTTTATAGAGAAACAAGGATCAGAACCACCAAATTAAATGGCAGTCTGGAAACATTCAGTCACTTTCCAACAGATTCAACACTGTTATAACTCAAAATGCAAATGCTTACATGTTCTACTTTTTAGCTCTTTTACAAAACAAGCTGTGACGGTTGGCTAGCTTGTGTGTTTATTTGCAAAAGCATAGTTTCTACAACTGGCATTTGGCCCGGTCTCACAGCACTGAGTTACGATGAAAGACGTGAAATGCTCGCCAACTCCCACCCTCTATTCTCTGGCTCTACGTGGTGCATTTCTAAACGGAGTGGTATTGGAGCGAGAGCCGGGAGCACTGCCAAAAAACACAACCATTACAGCCATTTGATAGTATTTTACAAACAATCCACAGAACCATATACACAGTAGTGCGAGCAAGACATCACACATACCACAAGCATATTACACTGCATAAACAATGTCAGATTTGTTTTCATGAAGCTTATGGAATGTCTTTTTCCATCCTTTCTCCTTTCTGAATTCCTTTGCAGTTTAACACACATTTAACATATTATATATCTGTTACACTGTGTCTAATCTAATCTAATCTAATCTAATCTAATCCTAAACAGTCGATCAGCTAAAACATATCTGGCATCCAAAGTTTTTTAGTTTTGCACAGAAGCTATGAGGCAAATATAGCTAACAGGTAACTGAAGGATACTGTGCAAAAGTCCAAGATCACTTTTCATGTATCTAATTTCCAGTCAAAACATCTATTCAGGACTGGTTATTCATTCTTCAGGAGATATTTCTGAGGAAACAATCCACTTAAAGGAGCTTCCAAAAAATTATTCAACGGACCAAAACTGTTCCCGTCAGATAAACAGCACTTAAAGCTTTCATCTGTGAGAGAGAGAGGAGAAAATCAAGCTGCTTCAGATCTGAAAACATCCACAGGTGTTTCTGTCCATCCTTCCACTGTGAGAAGACGACTCAGCGCTATGGGTCTGAAAGGATGTGTAGCTGTTCAAGAAGAACCTCACTGAGAAAAGATAATATATGAAAGCTTGCAAATCAAATAAAGAGCAATAGACCACTGCAGAGAAAATTGCTGGGGATTACTGGGATTGTGAGAAACACAAAATGCAACCAACTTCTAAGAGAGAATTTTGGAGGTGTGGAAAAAACATGCCTGCAGATTTCATAAAAAACCTGAAAGTGAGTCTCCTGAAAAGAACGAAAGCTCAGTGTTTCCACCATTTATAATCCAAAATTATTGCCGCCGCTGCTTCAGCCTGTTATAAAATGTCATGAAGTTGCAAATACAACACGACAGGAGGTGGACGAACATTGCGCGAACAGTCGGAGCAGAGTTGAGCCAAAATGCTGAATGAAACAGTCAAATGTAAGGGATTGTAGTTGGGTTGACCTTATTTTGCAAAGTTATTAAGTTCAGTTTTACATCTTGTGGACTTTTGTGGACAGTGGTGGTCTGACATATGAATAAAGTGGGTCAAAAAAAACTGTTTATCTGTTTTATTCTGTGTTTTATTCTGTTTTATTCTGTGGCTACTGGCTCGTTGTGATGCGCGTTGTCATGAACAGCGAGGGCGAGCTGCTGTTCAGGACAGTGTATCTTGTTTGTTTATAGCGAGAAAATGTACTGAATGATACGGCTAAGACTGACGGCCTGAGCCTGATCTTCAGTGGCTGGACAGTAAAGAAAAGAAGATGACGGAGTGGGAGTGGTGCCGGAGGGGGGTTGGCCTTCACCCCGTCTGGGGTGGGGACGGCCTGCCACCGCTGCTGAAAAGAATCCTAGAGGAAACACTGAAAGCTGTAATAAAGGTAAAGCGTAGACACGTTAAAAATGCATACTTACTGAGGAGGTTTCTGTTAAATAGGTTTTCTGCTTTGTTTCCTGACACCAAAAAATAAACCTAATTCCATTTTGACTGTACATTTAATGAATGAATGGCAGTCTTTGACTAAATCATAACATTTATCTCACGGTAATCTGAAATAGGCCTGCTAACGTGGTTTCTGACACTGCATGACACACTGTTGTTTATAAAAACAGACAAAAGCACAGACAAAATTACAGTCCACTGTTTTTAGCTATGCTAAGCTTCCATTACTTGTTAGCTACATTAGCCTTGTAGCTCCAGTGTAAAACTACAGAATGAAATTCTGGCCACCTGATTTTTGCGGACTACTGTTTGTGAAAACTGTGCGCACGTTTTAAGCCATGGCGGCCTGGTTTACTCTCATACGCTGCCTGGTGTGGTATGCAAGCAGCCTGACTCACACCTCCAGAAAAGGCCCCTCTAAAGTTAGCTGCTGGAGTTCAGCTGTCAGCTACGAGCACTTTCAATAACTCCAGCACGCTGGTGTAGGTTTCTCACTCAGATACAATAATCAGCTCCAGCAGGGCTGCTTACACACCCTCAGCCAGACTACAGCGCACAAAAAGACCCCAACTACAGCCAAATTATCAAATAATTAAGCCTGTATAAATGATACGAACATGTAAACTAACTAAATGTTATTCTCATCGTCTCTGCCGTTTCTAAACCTTGCAAGTTCTTTTTCACTCATTTTCACACCAACTTAAAATTGCAGCTGCCCCACTGTGTAAATAACAAATGGGCCAAAATAAATGGTTCAAAATGACTCTGAATAAAACTCTATGAATAAAACACTGGCATACATTAAAGTTAAGAGCGCTTTTTTCTTTCTCTGATAAAGTTACTGTTTCTGAGGTATGTATAAAATATATCTACAGATAGAGAAATAACACAGGACCTAAATAAAGGCCACAATCATATAATACATATCCTAACATTGAACACATTTTTAAATGCCAAATACAAAGATTTACAGGGTCAAAACCCTCTGAGATTTTTTTTGGAGTCAAAAAAGAGGCAGATCATGTTTCTGGTGGTTTCTGCGAGAGCGACTGTGGACACGTTGCTATTTACAGCTTCAGTGTCCTTGCCTCCCTTCAGCTTTTAACATTTTAAATGACCCATACATGCTACAGGCCACAGCTCGCCCAGCCCC